AATTACACATGATCACTCATGCCAAAGAGCATTGTTTCAAATGCGATATATGCAATCAGACATTCGCACAAAAATATTGTTTAAGAAGGCACATGATCACTCATACCAAAGAGCATCCTTTCAAATGTGAGTTATGCAATCATACATGCAAACGAAAATATAATTTGAAAAACCACATGATCACTCACACCAAGGAGCGTCGTTTCAAATGTGAAATATGCAGGAAAACATTCTTACATTCGGGTGACTTAAATAGGCACATGTGTATTCATACAGGAGAACGCCGTTTCAAATGTGATATATGCAATCAGACATTCAGACAAAAAGCTAATTTGAAATCACACATGACCACTCACACCAAAGAGCGTCCTTTCAAATGTGATACATGCAATAAGGAATTTTCACAATCGAACAACTTGAAGAGAGACAAGATGACTGTTCATAGTGGAAAACGTGATGAAGATCAATGAAATATTACCAAGCAGAAACTAACACTGCTTGTGAAATATCTATGAATTACTTATATTTTATTTGCATTGAAAATTTAATTACTGCTGTACAAATATTTAGTATTATGAATAAATTTATATAAATATATATATTTTTTTATATTATAAGATTTACAGATATTTTTACAAATTTTATTAAATCGCATCATTCTTATTAAGCAGTACTCAGTTGTAAAATTTCAGACAAAATAAATTACAATTTTTGATCCATTAATGCTAATTTATACTGATCAATTAGTAGAATAGAGCAAAATTTTTTATGGAAAATCCTAAACAGATTTCAACTGGTGAATTCAAATTGCTGGAACATTTGAAATTTTGAAAATCCGAATTATTTTCGATATTCAAAAAAATAATTTTTTTGTTACTTAAAACAAAATTCAACTAAAAAAAAATTTTTTTTTTCAAAAACAATCGTTTCATCAACACAAGCAGAATTTTTTTTTGAATCGTTCAAATCGCATGCTTATTTCTTTCAAAAACTGCCATTTTTAGCACATTGACAAAACAATCGCATTTGGGAAAAGTTTTTTTACTTCAACATATATTTTTTTCCAATTTTTTTTTTGTACATCGAAAATAATTCGGATTTTAATTTTAATTCTGGCTAATAAAGCGGAGCAAAGAGTGCAGAAAATAAAAATAAAGTTTTTGATAGAACGGAGTATCCGATTTGAATGATCTAAAAACATTCAATTTGTAATGATTGGGAGAAGTGGTGATTAGTTTTTGGCAAAGGCAGATGCAGCCATTTCGAAGATACAGAGCTAAATGTACACAAAATGGCAGTTTTTGAAAGAACTAATCGTCCGATTTGAATGATTCATAGAACTTTCTGCTTGTTTTAACAGAATAATTGCTTTTAGAAAAAAAAATTTGTTTCAATTTTTTTTTTGTATATCTAAAATGATTCAGATTTTAATTTTAATTATGACTAAAGTTCTAATATACTTTGCAATTCAGTTTATATAATTCTTATAAATATTCGACAATGTTACAATATTTATAATGATCTATATAAAAACATTTAATATTTCTCGAACATTTCGTTACGGTACGGAAAGTTCCATTTGCCTTATGGCACGTTGCCGTACACCACTAGTTATGATATATATATCGCCAAAAAAAGTACCATAAAAATCGGCTTATATTATTTTCAACAGCTAATTACAAGAAAACGGCTCGGTAGATTTTCAGTTAAAACTAATTAGTATCATTCCCAGCTAATATTTTCCAAACAGTTTATGATTTTTTAAAATCGATTCGGTAGTATGAGCTTAAATGTAGACGAAAAGTTTAACACTTTTTTCCAAATTTCAAAGGAACGACTCGGCCGCTTGTCGCTCAAAATTGAGATGCGATAATCCTCATCGAGATACATCATATGGCTTTTAAATTTCTGAAATCGGTTCTGAAGGCGTTTTGGAGTAAATGTCTATGAAAGGTCTAATTTTGACAAATGCTAATAAACGATACTAATTTTTGCAAACTTTGACAAATTTTTAAAGTTAAACGAGTTGTAAGGCAGTAATATTTTAGTATGATCTAGAACAGGGGTCGGCAAGCTTTTAACTATAGTGTGCCAAGCCACTCTACCAATATGATTTAGAGTGCCGCCTTAATTTTGAAATATATAGTTAGGTGCTAGGGGAGAAGAATTATAACCAAATGTATCTTTTAAACATATTTATTAACAAATAACATAAATTTCTAATATAAACTAAACAACTTTAATGCGAATCTTATGCCTGCACATTTTTCCTTAACATTTCAATATCCGGGGTATAATTTGTAACTTAATTTCACACAAGATTCTGAATGTTTAGTTGTTAAACGATTTCTTTGTGAACTCAAAATATGTTTCATGTGAGAAAAAAATTGTTCACAGAGATATGTGGAACCAAAAGCTGAAAGGAGAGCGCATACAATTTTCTTTAAACAATTAATTCTTTTGCGGCAATGTCATTCAACAATTTAATATGGCTGTCGATTTGTCCATAGAGTTATCTTCCAGATTTTTTTGTAATTCCTTCAATTTTGTTTTCCATAATTCTGAAGATATTAGTTCCTTTCAAAATTATCAACATTAATCCATTCGAAAATCAACAAATCAAACGGTATTATTGATGGATCGATTAAATCTGGTTTTATGAGGAAGGAATATATAGGCACATAAGCTTCAAAGTCTTTGCATCTTCTGGAAAATTCATCTTTAAGTACTTCAACGTAGGTTGAATTACATTAGCGAGCTACGTTAGAAAAATAATTATAATTAAACATTTTCTCTTATTTAAAAATCACTCGATATTTGCGATTTTCCTGATTACTTTATAGAGTGCCATTCAGAACCACATCGCGTGCCAAGCCTGGCACGCGTGCCGTAGGTTGCCGATGCCTGATTTAGAAGACTATGGTATCTTTCGTCAAAAAAATAATAAAAAAATCGCCGAAAAAGAAATTTAACACTTTATTACAAGAAAACGGGCCGGCCGATCTCTACCAAAAACTAATCAGCACGATTCCCAACCAATATCTTTCGAACGGTAATTTAATTTTCAAAATCTATTCAGAATTGCGGGCTCAAACGTGGGCAATTTTTGTTTCACTTTAATGCGATTTACAAAGAAACGGCTTGGCTGATCGTCGCGCAAATTTGATAAACGCTAGTACTCATCGAGATGCATCAAATGGCTTTTAAATTTTTGAAATCAGTCCAGCCGGTTTTGAGAAAACGTCGATTTACGGCAAAAAATCTGTTCACATACACACACACATACTTTTTCCAAATTTGGTCTCATTCGATTCAGAATGTCTTGAAACGTCGAGAAAACATAAAATTAGCGAATCGGTTTTTTTATGTAAACATAAACTTCTCCTTCGGGAATACTAAATTTTAATTTAATAAGTGAATAATTGGGACCAACGAATTTGACGTTTTTAAAGTCAAATAATCGGTAGTTCAAATTCCAAACACTAGATAGACCAGGGTCTGTGATGTAATGTATACACATTCAATGTAGTTTAATATTACACAGAAACAATTATTCTATGAATAGTTTGGAACAAAAGCGAGACAAAACTTTCTTTCGGTATCTTTCTTCGTAGTCTGCGGACTTTCCTAATTCGATCAATTGCATTCGATCACAACAAGTGACGTTTAACGAACGAAATCACAGTTATAATCGCCTTTCATTCGGCATGTCCATTGTTCTCGTTTATTATAGTTGACTTGTACGAAGTTAGAATTTGTGGTCGATATTCGTGCTGATTGATTTGAACGCCCGCTAAAGTCTGTCTGTCAGCGCTCCGATTCAATTATCGCAACTATATAGTAAGAAATAGGCCGTTAAATGTTAGACGAGGCGCAGCCGAGGCACAAGTTTATTAATAAATTTATACGGTAATTACAAGCAGAGCGATTCGATTATGTCTTGATGGTTTAGTTTCAAACATAACTTTATCATTTTGTAATATTGGCATTATTTTTGTTAGATGATTTCTTTCTCAAATAAACATGCGTAGCTTTGTAAAGCTACGAAATTTGAAAAATTAAGTTAAAAACCATGTTGAGTTTATAATATTCCGGATATAAAGTAGAAAAGTTTGTTGTATAAGTACCGGTTTATTTTTAACCCTTTTAATACAAAATTGATGGCTTGTGCCAACCTGTGTGTACGAGAGTCTCGCCTATAGGCGACATTTGTGTGTCGAACATTGCATCAATATTCATCACTATGTATTGAATTATTGAGAATTCTAATTTGTTATTGTAGTACTTAGTTCTTTAAAAATGAAATTTTTAAAATATTTTTTTATTGATAACACAGGCCCCCAAAAAAGTTGTCTGTATTGGGTGTTCGAAATATGTTTTTAAATGTAGTTTTTATTTCTGAATACAAATCTGAAGTCAAAATTGGGAGACAAACTACAAAAATAAAAAAACTATTATAAAAACGACAAAATCTCCAATCTAGTCATTCTTCTGTATGATAATTAAAATATTATAATTTCTGTCGTTTCCTGGCCCCTTTCACCTTAAACGACTGTAATGCTAAATGCCTCTTATAATCATTTACCCCTATACCCACAAACTTACAAAAATCTACAAGCATGCTTTTGCATCCCGTGCATTGTATTTTAAATTTCTATATTTTTTATCTAGAGTTAGTGGGCGCTCTGCACTTTTTGTTCTTCTAGATTTTCTTATTTTACTTCTCATAACATCGTCATGAAATCGTCAACGTCATCGTCGATATCGTTATAGCATCAACAGGTACTATCAATAGTAAATGAATTCAAAACAGTTTCCTTTTCATATCATAATCGAGTCCAATAGAGATTTCTCTACTCCAACTCTACGTGGTGCTTCCTCTTCTTCATTCTCTAACGACACGAAAATCTTCAGAAAGTTATTCACCAACTTGACTGACTACCCAAATGATACATTGACGTCTGATGCAATTTTTTCACCTTTTTCTTGCCTTGACTTGCTCAGTTCTGCTTCAAGGTTTCATTTCCCTCTTGATGAACCTCAGTTTGCCTAACCTCAACATTGTCCTCACGTTTTACATTGCTGACCTAAAATGCAAGTCGACCGCATTATTTTTACTATATTTTCAATGTCCTTGTAGCAAAGAGAGTTGGTTTTTGAAATATAAACATCACTTGAATTAGTCGCCCCACCCAAATATCATTGCAAGAAAGCTGCTAGAACAAACACACCTCAGAAAATTTTAAAAAAAATCTTAATGACTGGTTTTAGATTTAATAAGAACAAACTTTATTTTCCTTGTCTTTCTTTTAATTAACAATCTATAATCTATATCTAAACACTGTGAAGAACTGCATCAATGGGCGCAGTCCTTAGTTTTACTCTATTCTTTATCATACTCGATTTTTTTTATATTCCATGTAGATAGATGATCAAATAAATATAATTTTAAAAAAATATCACTTGAACCATTTCCTTGTTGAATGCTTTCACACCTGCTAATAAAAATGAAGTATTTTCTGTTGACTGACAAAACCCGCTTTTCTGGTTGCACCAAAAGTCAATCGAACTATCTGTGCCTCCTGGTATCTCTGCTACTTAGTTTATAACTTATTGTGACAGACAGACATAATAATGTAAAACTGAAGTAATTTCCATGGGGACAAGAGTCGGGAGAAAGGCTGAGAAGCTGATATTATTATTAAGTCCGACAAAAGCATTTCCTTCGCTTTATAAAAAGACACACCAATATAAGACTGATATAACTCAAGCTCCATTCCAACATTAAAGATATTCAAACACAAAAAATAAACTCACTTCAAGGTTATATATGCTTACTGTAAAATTACCTTCCAGCTGACAGACCTCTAAGCCTATACCCTTCCGTGCGACACGTAAAGGCACGAGAGACTACAATAAAGGAAAAACGTAAAAATATTTTCTTGTCAAAACATAGCGTGCAAACGATATGCAAACTGTATATTTTCTTATTTGTATGAATGAGTTGCTTATTTTGTGGGCACAATAAAACATAAAAACACCTATAGCGTATTCTTATTCACTTTAATAAATTTGTTTTGAGATGTACTAGACAATAATTCGACAGACGACCGAAACGATATATAATTATCGATGGTTTCGAGTTAGAAAAGTAACAGTAGAGAAAAACGATACAGAAAACGAGAACCAAAAGAAATAGAGATATTAATATCGAGAGCATTTATTGCAATTTGATTAAATGTAAAATTTTCCTTTGTAACAACTAATGTAACTACTAATAGGAAAAACACAAATAAAATTTTTACATGCACAATTGTTCAAAGATTTATTCTGCTGAATAGCAAATATTGAAGTTTTCTATATGAATAAATTTTTAAATAAAAATATTTATTTCAAATTTAGAGCAATAAAGAAAATTTGATGAAAAAAATCGCCCATTTGCATATACAAAACTTTCAAAATGGTCGAAAATAATCAGTTGAATTGAATAATTCAATTCAACCAGTTCAATTCATATTCAACCAGTTCAATTAATATTAATTCAATCAGTTGAATTAATAATTCTATTTTTGCTGCAATTATCAAGTCTAATTTCATAAAAAACACATAATAATTGCAGCATGATGAGTAAATATTAAATTAAATATCAAAATAAGACAAGTTTTATATAGGGATGATATTATTCCGCATTAAACAGTTAAAAATATAGTTCGTTATCGAAGTTTTCTTTCGAGGGAGTCTGAATAAATAAACAACGTTTCACTCACTTAGTAAACTTACTTCTTCACAAAGGCAAATAGTTTTATAAAATTATAGTATGTGAAATATTCTGCTGAAAAGCATAATTTCGAATAAATATCATATAATAATATAAGAAATATAATAGTTTGAGCATTTATTACCAGATGAATCAGCCCTATTTGAGATATATTCTATTGAATATTACCAAGCCTCTCAAATGCCATAATTAATTCAAATGTAGCTTTTATTATGCAGATTTCTGTCAACTTAGACATGTCAACCACTTTTAAAAATATAATTTGAATACTATCAGCAAAATCTATTTGCTTTAACCCCTCATTTTTGCTTGTTTGAATTCCAGAAGTTAAATTTTTTTCAAAACCCACTTTTCATGAGCCTACAACATTTCAAGAGCTTCGTAGTTTCGTTATATTCGAAGATGACGAAACAAAAAATTCCTGTGAGTCGATATTTGAATATATAGAGAAAAACTATATTGCAAAATGTTACTGGATCAAAGTTTTCGGGCCATACCTTCTTTAGCAAACTCACAGAAATATTTTGACCCGCCCTAATCACCCCCTAACAAAGACCGCCATGTACAATATATACGACATAAATTTAAAACAAATATATCAAGTCATTATCTATTTAGTATTGATGATAAATTAATGATACTTTAAATGAAAGATAATTAAACAGTTTTGAGTTAAAGTTATGCTACACTATAAAGTTTTTATATTTCAACTGTCTTTTTTAAGCTTATATAATAAAACACGATTATAATATTATATACCAGGAACACAGTTTGTGCATTAGTCGCCCGGTGTAAAATTTGTTCTTACTACCTCAAGTCAGTCAGTGCTGTTTTATCATGTTAATGGTTTTTTTAAACTTCATTAATTTTTCTAACATTTTTTCATACATTTTACTATTGCTTAGCATATTATATGTTATTTTTATTGCATATTTTAATTTTTGCCTTTTTCATGGATACTTCTACCGAAGGCAGATCCATGTATTTAGTCAATATGCAACGTCAGAATATGCAAAAGTCAGAATCATTCTTTTTTTTCGATACAGAGTACAAGCATATAACCCGAGAACCTCTTACTTGCAAGAGGCAGCTATGCCCCTACTGGGCTACTACTACAGCTATGCCCCTAACAGATAAATTAAATAATAATTTGCTAAATAATATAAAAAAGTGCTTCATATAAACAATCTTGGCAAATTTAAAAAGTAAATTTCGAAGCTTATAAAAATACTTCCATTAATAGCAAAGAAGAAAATCCTATTAATACCATTACAACCTGAATAAAATAAAATCCAAATGTTCGAACAAAGGGTACCTACTGAAATTGCTATTGCACGCTTGCAACAAAGAGTATTCGATGTGATCGAGTTTCGATGTACACATATGCTTTATTTAGTGTGCGATTCGAATAAACACTCGAAAATACGATCCGTTTGCATTGTAAATTGTATCGTCGACCACTCCTCTCATCGATATTCTAGAAGCAAAAGGGGATATAAATACGGAATAGGTTTTATCACTTTATATCACAAGCGGCGTAATAAAACCTCAAATCGATAATGAGAATGATACACCAATATATCATGTTGCGAAACATATTTCACATTTCTAGAGAAAATAGTAGTAGAAAATCTTATGAATTATTCATTATTTCACAGGTTAATAATAAAATGGTGAAGATCAAATAATAATATGATATTACAATATACAAGAGACAGTCATATTATGAATAAATACTAGCGTTAAATAACATCTACTTGATTTTTGTATGATCTTTCATCTTTCTGGCCATCTCTATTTTGGTCAATTTAGAACACTCGTTAACATTTGAAATAGAAATTATTTCCAATGATTTTGTGAATATTAAGTAATATATTTTTAAATAATTACAATATTTAAATATAAAGATTTTGAAATTGACCTCTTAAAATGCCACTCACTGTCCCAAATTGGCAAAATTAGGACATTATCACAAAATTGAAAGTTTTACAAAAAATCTGAGTAGACGCTATTTAAGTATTTAATACAAATCTTCAATTATTAAATTAATCTTTCTTGTATATTATGAATATGAGATAATATATTTTTGAATCATTAGAATATTTATATCTAAAGATTTCAAAACGTTACTGGTCGCAGTGTTCCAAATTGGCAAAAAAATAAATTACCACAAAAATAAAATTTCTACAAAAAATCAAAAGAAACGCTATTTAATACTAGTATTCAATTATAAAATTAATGTCACTTATACATTATGAATTATGAAAATTATTATTATGAAAATCAGATCAAATTGCATTTTAAAATCATTGGAAAATATAAATATGAAGATTTTAATTTTTTTTTTAAATTAGCTACTAATTATTTCGAAATGACAAATATACAGATAAACACAAATGTTTTTCCAATTGACAAAAATAGAGATCATCACAAATATGTTTCCAGTTGACAAATTTAAAATTAGCCTTTTGAAACTTTACTGATTCTTCCCAAACGACGAATATAGAGATAACAAATGTGTTCCCAATTGACAAAAATAGAGTCATCACAAATATGTTTTCAATTGTCAATTTTGAAATTAGCCTCTTAAAACTACTGATTCTTCTCTAACGATAAATATAGAGATCACAAATGTGTTCAAAATTGACAAAAAGCGAGATTATCACAAATATGTTCCCAATTGACAATTTTGAAATCAGCCCTTTAACACAATACTAATTCTTCCCAAATAACGAAAATAGAGATCATTACAGATGTGTTCCCAATTGACAAAAATAGAGATCATAACGAATGGGTTCCCAGTTAACAAAAATGGAGATCATCACCAAACTAAAAGATTTATAAAATATCAAAAACAAATATTGACATAGTTTTTGTTTTTAGATACCAAACTAATTGTTGAAAATTGTACTGGTAAATTTGTACAGAAAAACCATAAGGTAAACCAATGTCATAAATAAAACAAATTTTTTTTGTCATCGAATATAAAATAATTCAACTGCAAATCGAATCTTAGTCATTGTGAGAGTATTGAGGAGTCATGAAAAACAATTTATTCAAAAATTCTTATTTTTGTTTTAATTGTTCAAACTCGAACTAATCAGAGCGGATCTATATAAATAAATAAAAATAACCAAACGCATAATAATAGAGAGAATTTTAGCAGTGTACACTTTCCAATTAAATGTTTTTCTCGTATATTTCTATATTATATACAAAGTGTTATTAAAGTAATTTCAGATCCACATCAAATTTCAATAAAGAAAAGCAACTCTTACACTCGATTTAAATCATATTTTAAACCTTTCA